ATGCAAAACCCCAATTTAAGACTGATGCTAAATCTGCATACAAAGGTTTGTTTCTCACAGCAAACTCCAGTGTTCGTGCATATTTTCGGGACGACCACAGTTTCTGGTAGTTTGTGGTTATTTTAAGAATGCTGTTTTTTATTTTACATACAGTATAAGCACAATAGGAGCTGAAATAATGAGATGATAGGAGCAGGTTTGAAAACAGTCTTTAGTGCAGTTACTTACATGTTATTTGCAAATGCAGACGGTGTTTAAAATTGAAATAAATAAGCAATAATTTCCTGTTATGAGCCAGGAAACTAGTTTTGTTTTACTTTCATGTGTTTTAGATCATCGATGTGTCATCACAGTCGTACTCAGCATCTCCAAACTGTTTCACCACTGATGATAGCAGACAGCGTGGTCGATGATAACAGAAAATATTTTCCACAACTTGTGTTGGAACATGATAAACTTGTCATTCTGTTGTATTCAGATGTAGAGAGTTTGTTACCTATCTTCAGCGGAGCATCCAGAGACAGGTCGGCGTACAGTAGATTCTCTGGTTTAAGGTCACGATGCACAACGCCGTTCTCATGTAAATACTAAAGCACAGAGAAGAAAAGCATGAAAAACGTGGGAAAGATGATCTGATTGTTGCCTCATCAAGCGGAAACTTCCTGGACTGAAAAATGAAGCAGAGCTTAAGTGCATTAACTCTAATGGCCACTTGAAGCTTGAGGCTGGTCCAAAAGCGAGTCAGTCCCCGTGGACTGAATTTAAAATCGCCAACTTTGCAGCAGAAATAAACACGTTTCAGAGCCCAATATTAGAACTTTATCGAGGCGTAGTTTGCATCACAGGGCCATGGCCTCATCTCTGGACTATTCTTGTGGTGATGGTGCCTTTTACAGCATTTTAGTGCAATTATCTGGTAAATAACAAAATGGTGTACTGTTGATTATCCTAAAGCACCAGGGTTTTTTGTATGTTACTTACAAATAAAGACAAGCAATCTATCTGAAAGGGTGTTTTTCTTGTTTCCACAGTGACACACGGTGCTTGTTCATAGGGCGATCTTTGATTGTTGGGATTACCTCTGTATCATTATAGGGTCTTTACCCTGCAATATAAAGCATCTCAGGGTAAATGTTGTTGTGATTTGGCACTATATAAATGAAATTAAATAGATTATAGCAGCTAGATGTGCTTTGTTGCTTGGTTTGGAGACAGTGGCACTTTAAAAAGACAGGAAACTGAGCTGGAGGTGGCTACGTTGAAGATTTTCCAAAGAGCTGGATGGACAGCATTAGGACATCAGAGGAAGAGCTCAGGTTGAGCAGCAAAGATATGCGAGGATAGGAGAGATAGTTTATATATTGGACAAAGGATGTTGAAGATTGAACAGGAGGAAAAGAGCCACAGAGAAGGTTTACGTTACAGCTTGATGTTGAATCACAAAATCAGTTGCTGACACTGTGAGGAAGACGAAGAGCCTCCTTCATGCTGGTGAAGGTGTGGGGTTGTACAGGCAGACGGGCTCTGTGTTGTTTTTCACTTCTGCTTTGATGTTTGGCAATTTAAAAGTTTAAATATGGGTTTGTTTCTATATTTTGTTTCTAACTTCAAACACAACCTTGTCGGGTCTTTACTCAGATGCTGAGAATCTGCTATTAAAGCTGTTGCTGTGTTCAGGGGCTGCGGGATGTTTCTGTGCTACAGATTAATGCCACTCACATCACATACAACAAATACAACAGTACTGTAATCCCCCCCCAACACGCACACACACACACACGCACACACACACATAAAGGGGCGTATGTTTCTCTGCGATGTAGATGTAGGTCAGCTGTGGTCAGTGTGTGCGAGTGTGTGCGAGTGTGTGCGTGCGTTAATCCTCTCTGGTTTTAATCTGTTCAGCAGCAGGATGGAAGCAGCTGTTACATAAGAGACCTGCAGCCACTGCACGCTGCTGCCATGTGCAACAACACTGATACCAGCAACACCTGCAACTAAATCAACCACGGCTACAGCAACGCCTGCAACTAAACAGGGTAATTTATGCAATTAAACAAACAAATGAAACTACAATAATGTCACTTGCTGTGTATATAAATTACTGTAACTATGCCAACCACTGCAACTCATGCCGTACCTCCTACTAGACATGCCAATTACTGGCACTAAAACAAACCTGGTAACTACAGCAACGTATGTGACTTTAAATTAGCCAACTATGTAACCAAGCAACCCAAAACACTTGCAGCTAAATCTAATCTCTTGCTACAACAGTAAGCCTGGTACCCAAAATCACAAATCCTGCCAAAGCAGCAGCACCTGCAAGTAAACATGGTTAATATCAAAGTTAATTAAAACCTTGCAAATATAGCAACAACTTCTGCAGCTAAACCAACAAACAAACAACCTCCTCCCCCAGCTAAACATGGTGGTTACCACAACTCAGTCAACCCTTGCAACTACAGCAATACCTCCAACTA